CCCCCCCCCCCTGACTCCCTAATCTATACCGAAAGGATAGGAATTATTAATCTCGCGTTTGAAATGTGAATTCGAAATAGACAGGGGTGAATCAACGGCGGGTGTCACATACCAGAAGGTTGACTGGTTAATTGCGCGGATGTCGTGTGACATTTATCATAGCAGTGTGTGTGCGAGAGAAGGAGTGAAAAGACGAGGCCCGACATAACGGCAGTGGAAACAGACTGTGGTGCAGTGGCTGGAGCCACAGTAATAACTAACATTCTCTCTTCCTCCACCTCCTTCTCGGTATCCAGCAGCAAGAACTGTTGGAACTGATTACATATTCGCGAAGCTGTCTCGGTAAATCTCATCAAAATGTGTAAATCACACTGGTATTGTGGCTGACTATTCTCGCTGGGTGATGTATTTCAATCGAGTGGAACAGTCAGTTGAGATTTTTCAAGTCAGACGAATGCGGATTATCGCTGAGGGAAAAAATTTCTGATCCCCTACCACCTGAACCTGCGAAAGCCCAGTGCCAATGTCTGCCAACCTAACCTGGCGCCAGAATACTCGATGCCCTCTTGGAAAACAACCCCTTTACCATCCCCTCCACAGTTCACAATGTCACGTCGACAACGCAACGCCGGATGCCGCGTGTATCGCATGGCGCCTCGCAATACGGTAAACAGACGTGAAATCAGAGTTACCCTCAAGTCACCGGTGAATACTCGGAAATTCACGGACAAAGCAACCGCGCAAAAGTGAGTGGAAAAAGCTGCGATACGTCTCAACTGCGAGCAAGCCGAGTGGCCCGTATTTCCGTGGAAGATCGATGTGCCTGCGGAGTCTCGAGTACATTTATACATTCTCATACTGCTGAGATATGAATCCCACACTCCATTACCACGATAAATCCAGATGGAAATAATAATGGAATATCATCAATAATCATGAGAGAGGCGGAGGAAATATTCGATAAAAGCTCACCTGATACTCCCGTGCCCGGTCGTCTGCCTTTCACCTCACGCCTTTCCCTCTCGTCCGCAGTCTCTTCGTCCCTCCGCCCGCTTCTCTTCCCTCTTTATAGTTAAACGTTAAACTTGCCGTTGTCGTTGAGCAACTTTATTTACCCTCCTCAAGTATTTCTTCGTTGAAAGAAAAAAAAAACTAAAGAATAATGTGGAAAATTTTTTTCTGCAGAATTATTATTTTTTGCTGTGTTTGAGGAGAGTAGATTGAAGTCTCGTGGCTAACGGTTGTGGACTGAGTGAACCCGAGTTCAGACTGAAGAGACTACAGTGGATTTTAGACGTGGTGGTGAGCTACAGTGGCGCCATCATTCCCCGCCGACGATATTGTAACGGGGGTATGTGTGTGTATGCGCAACGCGACCGTCTCGTTGCCGTACCATCGATCCGAGCATGAGGGTTTGGGGTCGAGCGCTTCGGTTGGGGGGTTGGCAACGGGACGCAAACCGCCGGGAGGTTGAGGGGAAATTTTCACTGAGTGAGACAGACCAAATGTATAAGTAGGCTCGATGTAACGTGCGCAAGCAGGATGAAATGAGGTCTGCTCACGTTGAAGAGGGCGGGGCATAGCCAACCCCCCCCCCCCCC